CCCCCCCCTCAAATATATTTTTTGCCCTAATCAAACCAATTTCTCCCAAATATCCCGCACAGCCGCCCCTTTTATCTCTTGCGACTGGCGAGCGACGGAGCGACCGAGCCAGAGAGGAGAGACTACCTTCAGGCTTCAATGGCGACGAATCTGCTTTCTCTTTCCTCTTCGACGCCGACGGCAGACGGACACGGACTACAGGCGGCACCGCGGCAGTGGCACTCGCCACTCGGCTCCTTCTCTTCGACGCCGACGGACTCGCAGACTCGCAGTCTTGCTTGCACAGTCAGGTATTCCACATTTCCACAGTCATTTTGCTCCGTCTTGATCTTGCCGTGGTTTGGTTGGAGAAATAAGAAAGGAGTGGTAGAATCCAAGTTACAGCTAAATTTTTTTTTTTCTTGTTTCTTGCTCAGTTGCTCCGTCTTGATCTTGCCTACACTAACAGCTAAATTTTTTTTTCCCGTTTCTTACTCCGTCTTGATCTTGCCTAAAGTTACAGCTAAATTTTTTTTTCCTGTTTCTTGCTCCGTCTTGATCTTGCCTACATTTACAGCTATTTTTTTTTCCTATATTGAATGCAATGAAGTTAGTGCAAATCTCTAAACAACAATTACAGATGATGAGAGATAATGGATGGAATTCATTACTGGAAGAAGTATCTCGTTTTTGCAATGTTTTTGAAGTTGATGTTCCTGTTATGAGTTCTACATTTAAAGCTCGTCGACGATCAGCACGCAGAATTGATGACGTGACAAATTTGCATCATTATCGTGTGGAATTCTTTTACACTATCATTGATATGCAACTTCAAGAGCTGAATAATAGATTTTCTGAAACTAGTACTGAATTGCTTCTTTGTATGTCATGTCTAAATCCAAGTAACTCATTCTCTGCTTATAATAAGGAGAAATTAATTCGGCTTGCAGAACTATATTCAGACGATTTTTCTATAGTTGAACTTGTGGCTTTAGAGCACCAGCTATCGACATACATTCTTGATATGCGTACAAGCGAGGAGTTCTCATCTTTGGAGAGCATTGCTGATCTAGCAAAACAATTTGTTAAGGTTAAAAAAGATATCGTGTACCCCTTAGTTCACCGGCTTCTTGTTTTAGCATTAACTTTGCCTGTTGCCACCGCTACAGTGGAGAGAGCATTTTCAGCAATGAAAATTGTTAAACATAGGTTACGCAGTAAAATGGGTGATGATTGGCTCAACGACTGCCTGGTGCTATTTATTGAGAAAGAAATATTTGATTTGGTTCCAAATGAAGTTGTAATACAACATTATCAGAAGATGCAAAATAGAATGCAAGGCTTATAATTTTTATTGCAATATAATATCTTGTTTGAATTTTGTTATAAATATATTTTTTTATCTTTTTGTAATTTTCCCCCCCCCCCCCTAAGAATTAAGATTGGTTCCACCCCTGTATATAAAAGTTCCTGCAAAACACCACTACATTGCACAATAAGCTGCATTAACACATTACATATTAGCTTGCAAACGAACCGAGCCGAGTATGTGAGTGTTCATGTTTGTGTTCATTTAATATTAGCTTGTTCAAGTTTGGTTCATGTTTGTTCGAGCTTTAGCGTTTGTGTTCATATTTGGTTCATTTAAATTAAAGAGTGATCATGTTCGGTTCATGTTTAATTCATGTTCATTTGTTTAGTGTTTATCAAGCTTGTTCGTGAACATATTTAACCTATTTTTTTAACTATCAAACAAACATGGTCATAAACATATCTATGAATAAACATATTTATAATAAAAACAATTGTATATGTAACAATGGTTATGATTATTTATATTTATTAATTATATAGTCAAATATTAATTATTTTTATCGAGCTTATTCACGAATTCAAAATCAAGCATGAATCAAGCTTATTCATGAGTTCAAAATCGAACACGAATCGAGTTTCAATGTCGAGCTTTTTCACGAACTTCAAATGATGTTGTTCACGAACATAAATGAGTTGAACGCATTAATGTTCAAATTTGTTTATTTAAGAATCAAGTATTTAAAATATTGTTCAAGTTTGTTTGTTTAATTAATTAAACAATAGCAAACGAGCTTTAATCAAACCGAACAACGAGTAGCTTTGGTTCGCTTGCAGCCCTAGCTTTAATGAGGATGGGGAAGAAAGCATATTTCCAAGCAAATATATATAGCACTACATATCTTTAGTACTTCCTAAACAATATACAGACGTGTTCGGAGTTATGTTTTAGTTGGGTAACACTTAAAAGTTAAACTCAAACTCATGTGAAAAGTGTTATCAGTCCATATAAAATTCATACCTTAAACATAACATTAATTATTTGGTTACTTCTAAAGCTTCTTCATTCTTATTTTAAAGTTTATAAATTTATTTTACAAATATTGATGAAACTTAAATTCTAATTAATCTTTAAATTATTTGCCAAAAATTTAAATTTCGTCAGATAAAATTAGATGAAAATGATTTTATTAGATATACATCAGATAAAACTAATAAAATCAATTTAGTGAATGTTGATCAAAAGTCCATTCCATTACTAAAGGCCATAAGATTTCGCACATTTAGCCAATGCAATGTGCCAACTACGGCTAAATGTATCTGCTCCTTTCTTAATAAAACTTAAAACTTGCTCCTCCTAATTTCCAAATACAACATGCCCAACTTAAGAAATTTTCCCTAAATTAAATTGATCCCTTGTAAAAACATTATCTACCAAATGAAGAGAGTTAAATCTTTTTTTTTTTTTGGGGGGGAGGGGAATTAAGAGAGTTAAATCTTTCTCAAATAACAGGAAACTTCCTCGTGAGACTAAATAAAAAATAAAATGAAAAAAGGGAAAAAAGACGATGATTAATAACAGTAAGAAATTAAGTTGCTAGATATGCTATATAAGTACTGCAAAATAACACGTCTCAATGAAGACCAAAAAACACAAAATAAAGTGTCCAGGATGAATGATAAAAAGAGTAGGTCTAAAAGTTCAACTTGCTGAAACTAAAAGACAAAAACCGTAACGGATAAAAAGAACTCAATTGCCTTCGCCTTAATCAACCTCCTCCATCTTGCTTCCCTCAGCATCCTCTTCAAGAGCTGGCATGTCAGTATCTGCATCTCCAGCTGCTTCCTCCTCGTCAATGCTGAGACCCAACTTCAACATCCTGTGAATCCTATTGCCGAAAGTGTTGGGATCATCAAGACTGAAGCCAGAGGTAAGAAGTGCAGTTTCAAACAGCAAGAGCACAAGGTCCTTGACAGACTTGTCATTCTTGTCTGCATCTGCCCTTTTCCTGAGTTCCTCCATTATAGGATTCTCGGGGTTAATCTCCATGGTCTTCTTGCTCGACATGTAGCCAGACATGTTCGAGTCTCTGAGAGCCTGCGCCTTCATGATCCTCTCCATGTTTGCAGTCCATCCATACTCACCGGTGACCAGGCAGCAGGGAGAATCAACAACACGGTCGGAGACCACGACCTTCTCAACCTTGTCACCTAGAACATCCTTAATGACCTTGCACAGACCCTCGAACTTCTGCTTCAGGTCTTCCTTCTTCTTCTTCTCATCCTCTGTTTCATCAAGTTTCAATCCCTCTTTTGTTGCAGAGATCAATTTCTTCCCCTCAAATTCCTTCAACTGGCCGACAGCATACTCATCAATGGCATCAACCATGTAGAGGACTTCATAGCCCTTCTTCTTCAGCTTCTCGAGGAATGGAGAGTTTTCAACAGCCTTCTTGCTCTCACCGGTGATATAGTAGATATCATTCTGCCCTTCCTTCATCCTGGTTACGTAGTCCTTCAGGCTGGTTAACTCATCTCCACTTTTGGTAGAGTGGAACCTCAACAGTTCTGCAATCTTGGTTCTGTTCTGAGAATCTTCATGAATGCCAAGCTTGAGGTTCTTTGAGAAGGCCTCATAAAATTTGTTATAGTCTTCCTTGTTTTCAGCAATTTCAAAGAACAGATCAATGCACTTCTTCACCAGATTCTTGCGGATGACCTTAAGGATCTTGTTTTGCTGCAGAGTTTCTCTTGAGATGTTCAGAGGAAGGTCCTCAGAGTCAACAATACCCTTAACAAAGCTCAAATATTCTGGAATCAATTCCTCACAGTTGTCCATGATAAAAACCCGACGGACATACAGTTTGATGTTGTTGAGCTTCTTCCGGGTATCAAAGAGGTCGAAGGGCGCTCTCTTAGGAACAAAGAGAACAGCTTTAAACTCCAGCTGACCCTCAACAGAGAAATGCTTAACAGCAAGATGCTCCTCCCAGTCATTGGTGAGGCTCTTATAGAAAGCTGCATACTCTTCCTTGGTAATTTCTTCAGGCTTCCTCATCCAGATAGGTTTCTGCTTGTTCACCAGTTGCCACTCATGGGAAACCTCCTTGATCTTCTTCTTTTTCTTCTCTTTCTCTTCCTTCTCTTCATCAATATCCTCAACCTTACCTTCCTCATCTTTCTTATCTTCCTCATCCTCATCATCAGAAATCTCCTTCTCAGTTGTCTTTTCAGTCCAGAGAGAAATGGGATAGCTTATAAATTCAGAATGCTTTTTTATTAGATCCTTCAATCGGCGCTCTTCAAGGTAATCAAGCTGGCATAAGTAGGATAAAAACAAGACTTGATTAACTGAATGAATAAACAAAAAGAACAATCAGACGCATAAAATGCAGTTACTCGTAAGACCAATCCAATGGCTGAAGAAAAAAATATGAAGCAAGCAAGAGTAACACCAGAAATCAAATAAAAAATGCCTATAAATTATCATTTATGACATTTAATAAAAACAAGAAATGCCAAAAACACTAAAAAAAAAAGTAAAAAAGATATAGTAGAAAAAAATGAATTAGACAAGAAAACTTCTTAACGATTGAAGCATAGAATACCTTCACTACACTTCCAACAACCATATTACCTATACTAGTGTGTTCCTTAGTGGCATTGATGAACACTTCAACGCAAAGGATGCAGCTCAAAGGGAAGATACGACGTTTGTGTTTTAATTGTTAAACAATTTGGCATTAGTTGTGTTCAGCAGCATGATTTCAACTTATAAATGTGAGAGAGAAGAAATCTAGACTAGAGAGGACAACAAAAGAAAATATATTGTATTAACAGCAATCAAAGACATGTTTTGGTATAAAAGGGGTTAAAAAAATAAAAAAACGGAGTTCAAAAGAAAAAGAGGCAGTTCTACAGTACTGCAAACCAAGTGCACTGAATCATTATAATTGTTTGTATGCTATGAGTGCCTAATATTGAAAATGACACCCAAATCCCCAGCATTGTCACACATTCAAGTGAAATTAAATAAATCAGACATGCAGAGACGTAATTTTGCTGTATGTATGCAAATCCCTCATATAAAAACATCTAAACATTATCTTAAAGACAAGCAAATTATTAAAAAACCAAAAATCTGACAGGAAAAGCAAGCAGTACAGGAAATATCTGCAGCAAATCAAATCAGTAATCGCTTCAATTTTAAAAACAAACAATGATCAGACATTGCAAATTTAACAATTAACGTCTATTCGTAAGATAACCATTTAATCCTTGTTAATAAGGACGTGTTGAAGACCCTGGTAAGATCATACTTTGGAACTACACGTTAAAGAAATGCTAGAAGAACAAGTATTCAAACATCAAGTAACATTTGCTTCTAAATTAAATGATAAAGCAAATAGATAGATGACAATCAAATATTCCATCAATCAACTAGGGAACAGGAAATTATAATACATCATCATGCTAATTTCAAAGCCTCATTGATCATCAAATCAGTCAAAATCTGCAAAGTAACAACTAGTTACCGAACCACATTAAAAACGTTATTATAAGTCTTCAGTAAACTCAAGAAATCAAATTACCGTAAAAAAACATTAATATCTGTATACTGGACGTGTTTCTTGTTTCGTCTGAGATACGAACCAAAAACCAAAAAGACAATGTCACAAATTAGGCTTTAACATACCAGTCATGACCTCTGGGACGCTCAAAAGCCAGTTAGTCGAAATTAATTCTAAGGAAAACCACTTTCAAGTCTTTTAATACTAGCGCATGAAGCAGTCAATAATAAATCCCTACATCCTAAAAGTTGTTGCACAAACTACAGACACTCTATGACGTAGACACGTAGTTATGCAAATTTAATTCAAACATATATAGATAAAGAATAGGTAAAAATATCTTTACCTGGTCATCCTTGAGAAAAAGGGTGATCTTGGTTCCCCTTCCAAGATTCTCCCCGGATGTATCCCTAGTAACAGTGAAAGAACCTCCAGCCTGCGATTCCCACACATACTGCTCATCATCGTTGTGCTTGGTTGTAACGACGACCCTCTCAGCAACAAGGTAAGCTGAATAGAACCCGACACCAAACTGACCAATCATGCTAACATCAGCTCCAGCAGCCAGCGCCTCCATGAACTCCTTTGTGCCGGAACGCGCGATGGTGCCAAGGTTGTTGACAAGATCAGATTTGGTCATGCCAATTCCGCTATCAATGATCGAGAGCGTATTTGTAGCCTTATCAGGAACGATATGAATGAATAGCTCCGGCTGGGCATCCAGCTTGCTCTTGTCCGTGAGACTCTCAAATCTGATCTTGTCCAACGCCTACCAAATATCAATAGAAACAGACCATGAAATTCATGAATCATGTACAAACGACAAGGTTGTATGGTAAAAAGACAGAAACACAGCGACTTACATCAGATGAGTTGCTAATAAGCTCACGAAGAAAGATCTCCTTGTTAGAATAGAAAGTGTTGATTATAAGGCTAAGTAGCTGATTGATCTCAGCCTGGAAGGCAAAGGTCTCGCTTTCCGTTGCCATGGCTACTTCGTCGTTGACAACAATGCAAAAAGAAAAAGAAATGTAAGCAGTGGATCGGGAGATTGGAGCGAAAACTGCGGTGGCTAGGGTTTGGGGGAGTTGGTTCTTTAAATAGTGGAAATGGAGAGGTTCTAGAGTATTCTGAAAACCGGATCCGGCGAAAGCGTGGGACCTATCGTTATTTTGCAATAAATTTTTTTATTTCTGTTTGGTTTTAGAAATTTCTAGACCATGAGATTAATTAACATGGCGGTGGATAATATATTACTGGGAGGGTCGACAATTATATTTTATATTGATTCAAATTTAAAATAAGTTAAATTAATTTAAGAGATTTTTAATAAATTTAAGCGGATTTATATCATGATTAAAAAGCTATTGTGAATATTCCTTAGAAAATTTATGGATTGCAATCCTTCATTTTTTCCTCATGCAAATTTTAAGTAATTTTTTAAAATATTTCAACAAAAAAAAAAGTAAAAGCTTTATGACTAAAAAATTATTCATATGTATTGCGTTCTAGAACATTCGTGCTAATAGAGAGATATAAAATTTAGTGTCTTAATTTTGTATGAAGATCAAACACACACAGAAAAGGAGAAATGGGTGCAAGAGTTATAAGAGATATCATAATTTTTATATGAAAAATACTGAAAAGAGAAAAAAAATCATAGGATCTTGCCCAATTGAAATGAATTCAATAGTGTTTGTTATTAATTACAACTGATACCCTTCATTAGGGGAAGACGTTGGCTCAATACAACAAATACACATCATATAGAGCGCTTTACATTATTATTGGGCTAAACGAATCCAATACAATGAGAGCTATTCTCTAGAGAGTGTGGGTATGTTCCTTTATTTGGTAGCATTGTATTGAGGCAATAGAAGTCAAAGGGATCGTAGTTGACAAGTGATAGGAATCGTAGGAAAGACCATAGTTAAGCGACGATAGTAAGAGAGATTGTATTTAATGGACGATGGAGGTTGGAGGGACCGCAGTCAGTGGGTGATCGAGGTCGAAGGGATCATAGCCAGTGGGCAATCGAGGTCGGATAGAACGTAGTCGACAGGTAATGGTGGTCAGAGGGATAGTTGTCCGTGGGGATAAAGGTCAGAGGGACTATAGTTGGAGAGTGATGGTGGTGAGAGGGACTATAATAAGTAGGAGACAGTGGTCGAAGGGACATTAGTCGACGTGGGATATAGGTTGGAGGGACTATAGTTCATGGGCGAGGGTAGTCGAAAGGACTATTGTTGATCGATAATGATTTGAGGGACTGTAGGTGGGTAGCGACTATGGTGGGAAGGACTATAGTTGGGCGATAGTGGTCGAAGGTAGACCCGATGGTGGTGGCCGGATGAAGGTCCAATGGAGATGATCGGGCAGAGGTTCAATAGCAGTGGCCACACAGTGAGTGTTCGCTAGTGGTGGTAGGGGTGGAGCTCCGCAATTCTTCTAGCCTTATAGCTCACTTAATCTTTAGCTAATGGTTTAAGCTTCCAAAGATCTAAACCCCCTTCATGTGGGAAGAAAGAGTCTATTTATAGATTTTGAGCAAGGCTTTTAAAATCAGACCGGACCAGCCGGTTCAATTGGTTTAACCAGAACCAACTGGCCGACCAGTTATAATTCAAATGGATACCGATTTTGCACAAAACCAAGATTAACCCACTCAAACTAGCGGTTCAACTGCTGAAGAGATGAACCAGTCCCAATTTTTAATAACCGATCGATTCGGCTATAGTGTCGAATAGTTAGATCTAATGGCCAAGATTTTGAGAGGGGAAGATTATACGACATAGAGGAAAAAAAACTATCATTCGCGTCGGTGTCCTCTCTTTGGCTTCGAGCCTCAATAGAGGAAAAAAGCCCTCATTCGAAGCCTTTGACCTATCTTCTTCCCTAATGGCATGCGAAGCCAACACCGTCTCTATTTCACTCATTCATAAAGCAAGAAGCCAACGCCTCTCCTTCTACAGGCCTGTTCATTCAGAAAGCCAGAAGTAAAGGTCGAACGTTACCTTATTCTGGTTTGTTTCAGAATTTGGTGTTTTTTTTTTTTTTTTGATAAACATGTTGCTTTCATTTACTATTAAATTTTATGATAACTCCCCTTAACCAACAACAACAACAACAACAACAACAATAACAACATCATCATCAAGCCTTTGACCCACTACATGGGGTTGGCTACATGAATCATTTTTCGCCATTATGTCCAGTTAAAAGTCAAATTCTCATTTAAATCTAATAATAAAAGATCATTTCTAATATTTTCTAACCAAGTCTTTTTATGTCTACCTCTACCTTTCTTAATATAAGTCAAATCTAATACCTCAACTTTTCTAAATGGGTCATCGACAAGCCTCCATTTAATGTGACCAAACCATCTAAGGCAACTCTCTCTAATCTTATCTTCCACTGGAGTTACTCCAACCTTTTCACGTATATGCTCATTTGGAATCCCATCTCTAAGGGCCAAGCCACTCATCCACTAAGCATCCTCATCTCTACGACACTTAACTTAGTATTATGCTTTGCTTTTAATGGCCAACATTCGGCACCATAAAGCATTGCAAGTCTCACCACCATCTTATAGAATTTTCTCATAAGTTTGATGCATTCCTCCATTTCAATCATCCAACTTGAATTCTACTGATAATATCCCATCAATTTCACCATCACTCTAAATAATAGATCTAAGATATCTAAAACATGTACTCTTATTAATGACTTGATTGCCCAAAGTCACAATCCCCTCACTAGGTCTATTGCTACTAAAATTACACTCAATATATTCAGTTTTAGATCTACTCAAGCGAAAACCTTTAGACTCTAAGTTGACCTCCATAATTCAAGTTTACCTTCAACTTCCTCTCTAATCTTATCAACAAGAAGAATATCATCAGCAAATGTCTAGTGAGAACATCCATGACTAAAGCAAAAAGATATGGACTTAAGACCGATCCTTGATGTAATCCAACCGAAATAGGAAAATACTTGATCAAACCACCTTGTGTTTGAACACTAGAAATAGCTCCTTCATACATATCTTTAATGATTTGAATATAAGCATTATTAACGCCTTTCTTTTCAAGAACAATCCATAGCACTTCTCTTGAAACTTTATCATATGCATTCCCTAAATCAATAAATATCATATGTAGATCCTCCTTATTCTCTCTATATGTCTCCATCAAACCTCTCAATAAATGTATAGCTTCCATAGTAGACCTACTTGGCATGAATCCAAATTGATATTGAGAAACATTAGTATCACGCTGCAATCTATGCTCCATAACTCGCTCCCATAGTTTTAAAGTATGACACATTAACTTAATTCCTCTAGAATTCGCACACTATTATGTATCACCTTTATTCTTGAAAATAGAAATTTACACACTCATTCTCCACTGATTTGACATATTTTTTAGTCTTCAAAACATTATTAAAAAGTTTAGTAAGCCAAGAAATTCCTTCATCTCCTAAGCATTTCCACATCTCTATTGGAATATCATTAGGTCCAATAGCTTTTCCACACTTCATTTTCTTTAAAGCCTCTCTAACTTTGGTTTTACTTATACGCTGATAAAAATAAAAATCTTTATTTTCAATTAGGGTGATAAAGTCACTAAAGTCAATCATATTTTCACATTCTTCATTAAAAAGTTGAGCAAAATATCTCATCCACCTTTGTTGAATATCATCTTCTAAGAAAAGTATTTTTTGATTTTCATCCTTAATACACTTCACTTGAACGAAATCCTTGCTACTCCTATCTTTTTATTTGGATAACTTATAAAGATATTTTTATCCCTCATTAGTATCTAATCTATTATATAAATCCTTAAAAGCTAAGCTCTTTGCATCGTAAATAGCTTTCTTAGATTTCTTATGAGCCTCTTTATAACTTTCTCAATTATAAAAAAATTTATGTTCAAACCAATTTTTATAACAAATATTATTTTTTTTTTATCTTTTCATGCACATTTGGATTCCACTACCATCTATTTTTACTATTAGGAAGGTATAAATGATACAGAAGTCATTAAATCTGATTCAGTAAGATTTGTGGATAAAGGAGACTACTCTCCTAAGGCCTTTGATGGGAATGTGATGGAGGAAGTCAAAGAAGATAGTTCTTCTAATATCAAGATTAAGCTTGCAAAGGAAATCAGAAGTCTTGGTCATATAAAACTTTTGCCTAGAGGAAGGAAATTGGAGAATGAGGTGAAGGAGAAGGTGGGGAACTCTTCCCCTTTTGTTAGATTATGGCTTCAATTTTGTTTTGGAATTGTAGAGGAGCATGAAAAAAATAAGCTTCTCTATATTTAAAGGAGTTGGTGAAAGATAATAAGGTGTTTTTTGTTGGACTTTTGGAAACCAAAGTTCCAAATTTTAGTAAATCTAAAATTGAAGTTCTTATTGGTAAGGATTGGGATTTTGTTCAAGTACCTGCTGAAGGTCTTTCTGGTGGTATATTGGTAATATGGAAGTTCAAAATAGCCTCTTTTTCTTGCTTATTTTCTTCAAAGCAAGTTATCATAGGTTATCTTGATATTATATATATGGGGAGGAGGAGAATATCTACGGTTTATGGTGGTAAAGATGCGGTTCATAGAAGGCTACTTTGAGATATGCTGGAGGAATTTGATTCTAATAGCTATCCTTTAGTAGTTGGGGTTGACTTTAATTGTATTTTTTCCAAGGAAAATAAGAGAGGGGGAAGACCTTTTCGTTTCTCTCAAGGCCCAAGAGAGACGAGTTCGTTCTTAGTAAGAAATGATCTTCATGAAGAAAGTGTTATTGGACCTAGATTCACTTGGTGCAATAACAAAGATGGTATTGCTAAAATATTGGAGAGTTTGGATAGATGCTTCATTAATCCAATTGCATTGAAGGCCAACCGGTTTGGTGCTGAGACATTTATCGAGGGTGGCATCAGATCATTGTCTAATCCTACTAATTTTTTTTGAAGGGAACTTCTCCTCAGATAAGATCATAAGGTTTGAGGAAGTGTGGGCTTCATATCCAGATGCTATTGGTGTGGTTAAAGCAGCGTGGAGGAAGAAGACTAGAGGGAAT